AAAGAGACACCAATGTTTCAGGAATTTAGTACACAGAATAGGACACATGCTTATTAGATTTAAGTTGATGTATATGCTTTTATTTATTATTATTTTTTAAATAACTATTTTTTCCAAACCATTGTTAGATGCAGTGTTTCCTGCAGTTATGCAAAGATTTCTTATCTATTAACTATTTCTTATGATTGAAAAAGTTACACTACCATTACATTTTAAATAGGGTAACTTGTAATCTGTAACCTATTACATTTCCAAAGTAACCTTCCCAACACTTGTTATCATTAGGCTACTGTCTGTGCGCGACACCTGTGAACAGAGGTTCTACTGTCATCAGACCAATGGACTGTTTGATCAACGAGCGCATCCTTATGTCTGTCGTTACCGCCTATGTTCCAAAGCCATCAAACAAAGTTAAGTTCACAAAAATTATCATTATTATTCGTGCAAAAGTATTTTCTCAGAACATGAGTTTTGCTATTTAGAACACAATTTAAAGCGGAATTGTCATGCGCCAAGCAATTCTCGCTGTGATTAAAACATTAAATCGCATACTACAGGAAAATTGCTCGAAAGCAGCACATCCACTGCAAATATTTCTGTTTAAATTAATATAAAAATGTTTTAATTTCTGGATAATAATTTCATGAAATTTCAGTGCTTAACTTCCTTATTCAGACTGTCATATTTAATCTAAACGTGTATGTCAAATGTAAAACAGACTTTAAAATCATTCTGTTTGCTTCCTTATTTCGCTCCCTCCAGTAAAAGAGTGCGTACGCATGGTCTAGAGTGTCCGTACGGTGCGCACATATTTACGCCTAGTTTATTTTTTATAAATCCCGATATGAGTGTGGAAAATTGCGTACGCACATTTCCATGCCCATTCTGTGCATACGCAACGTTTATACATCAGGCCCCTGGTGCTCTCATGAAGACGAAAGTCTTATGGGTTTTGAATGACAGCACAGAATAAAATATCTGGTAAGAATAGAGAATACAGTATCTACAAGCATGCATACATGCAGGGTTGTGGAGTAATGGAATGCATGTAACAGTTACATATTTAAAATACGAAATATGAGTAATATTAAGATGCATTGTGTTGCCTTCTTGAGCATCAGTAAATGTTTAACCAAAAGGAAAATCAAGTCCTATGTTTGACGGATGTCAACGAAATCTGTAACAAATTACTTTTAAAACATGTATTTTGTAATCTGTAGTGAAAGACATTTTAAATGTAACTGTCCCAACTAGAGGTCTGCGTGAGACTGTTTTTTTTTAGTCTCACTCCTGCTAGGTTATATTCCGCACCCTCCCGCTCCCACTATACATTCACTCTTTGTTCACCCGCTGCCCACTTAGAATAATTTTCTTCCTGACCCGACTGTCCAGAATCTCACATTTAAATTTCCACTACTGAAAAAGAGATAAATAAAAATGTGGTCTGCACAAATATTGTATTTGTTATTTTATTCGTCTTGTCAAGATACAAAATTTGTTTAACATTTTGCTGTCAACACAGTAGGAAAAAAAGTGTCACAGAGAAAAAAAAAAAAAAAATGTAGGTTGAACAAAAAATGTATTTCTTATTTTTATTTGTCTTGTCAAGATACAATTTGTTTAAAATTTTGCTGTCAACAGTAGGAAAAGTATTGCAGAGGAAAAAAAATAAATACAACATTTGTCATTTTAAATTATAAGCAAAAGGACAAAATTTGAGTGCAGGCTGTAAAATAAGAATGAGGAAAGTCGGGAACGGGATATTGTTAGACCGCCCTCTCCCGTTCAAATTACACCAGAGTTACCGACCTCTACCATGTTTTATTCGGAAATTTAATCCAGACTCGTAAGAAATCTGGTCAGGTCCCACGGTTCCCGCAGGAGAACCACGGGAATGCAGACCTCTAGTCCCAACCCTGCTTACATGACAATACTAGTGATAGCTTGCCAAAGGTTTGTAAATGAACTTACACCTGGCACGGGCAGACTGATCCAAGACTTGAGCCAATATAGAGTTTCTCATCTCCGTCTCTCTGTGAAAGGTACAATGACAATAAAACTGTTCAGACATAATCCGTCTAGACAACAATTAAGCAATGAAAGAAACATTTTGTGAAATTACGTAATAGAGTGAAAATGGCCCAAATGATCTGAATTCCTCCAAGTAAATGTGTTTCATTTGAATGAATGTTGCCTTTTATAAAGCAGTAAGTTAGTGTTGAATTTCATTTTAATGAAACGTGTTACATTTTGTTACATAAACAGATATTTTAAATATTTAAAGAGCATGATCAACATTGGGTAACAGAAATACATAATACTTTTCAAAGACCAATAACTTTTAATTTAATGCATCAGAAAACTTTTGTTTGTTATTATTGTTTGATGTACCTCTGGTTGGCCTCCTGCTGGTCACTAGAAGGTTCCTAAAAGGGGATATGTAAAATTCATATGCATTATCCCTTTAGGGGTCCAAGCATCTAATTCCAAATTTCTTCTTCTTTCCTGCCCTAAATGTGTCCGTACTTCAGAAACCGTAAGTCGTAGAGACACTAAACTATAGAACTAGATGCCATTTGCATTTTGATTCATATCTCTGGAATCGTACAGGCTAGCTTCAGATTTGTTTTCCTCTGAAGGGGCATTTACATGCCACCATTTTCAGCTAAAAACAGAAGAAAAAAAAAAGGGTATGCATTTTGCCAGTTCATATACACGACAAGTGTTTTGGGGGCCTGAAAATGCAAACTTTTGCAAGAAAAGGGTTTAAAATTGCAAGCTTTTGGAAACAATACCATTATGGTTTTCGTGGAAACTATCAAAACGTGCATTACGTGTTCAGTCTATAGGAATGTGTGAGATTCTTTACAAAGTTACATCCCCAACTACTGGCCCGGCATGCATAACAGCATTTTTAGTATCTTCCGTGGATCTGTGTGAAGGGGATTGTTTTGACAAATGTCTGTATGTGAAACTTTTCAAAAACAAAAGAGAAAACCTTTCCTTTTGTAGTAATCATGGGCTATATTGGGGGTGGGGTTCAAACCCCTTTTACGCTGTTCATTTAATCTTCAACAAACTTTGTACAAAGCAGACTGTGCTGGCAAAAAGTTGTCAACTTTTTTATATGTCAAAGCATTAGCAAATTAAACTGTCTGGTATTATGCATTTTAATTAATTTAACTATATCTCCAAAACGCAAAGTCGGACCTTCTGCCCCTGGGGGTGTAGTTTGAAGACTGTGCGCAGAAAAAATGCACATAAAATTGCTGTTTAATAAAGTTCAATAAAATCTAATATGATCAGTTTTAATACACATTATATTATATTATCCCTATGATATTGAAAACAAGCCAGACATGACTGAATGTATTTGCGCCCAATTAAAATGAAGAGACAACTATGTCTATTTTAAGGAAGTACATATTTAGAAACTTACTTAAATAGAGACACTTAAAGATTAGTTATTATGTTTCAAAAAAGACAGCCATTGTATCTTCTACATTTATTTATAGATTAATATGTTTTTAGAATAAACATTTCAGCTAGCTTCAGTTCCGTTAACTCTTCAAATATATACTAAAATCATAAATACAACTCTTTCTTACTGAACTTATAATCATTATGAAGCTCTGGAGCCCATTAAAGTCACAAAACATTAGCCTGTAATGACATTTCACTTAATTAACTCGGTGGCTAAGGTTTGTTGTCGGCTCACTAGTCAGCAGCTCGAGAGCGAGACGTAAATATATTATAGAGGACGTTTAGATGGATTTTTAGGGCGGTCTAGGCAACAATAAACGCAAATGGCGAGAATAGATTTGATTCATACTGAAGGGCCTGATGTACAGTTCAATATGTATAAAAATTGCGATACTATTAACTATATTTTGCTCGTTTCTTTCTCCGTTTCTCTTACCCCACGTTTCGCCTGCAGTTCTGCCATACGTTGCCGCCTAATGGCTTCCAATTCTTCATCAGCCATGATTTTTAAAGACAGAGCAAACTTTCAGAGCGAAATACGACACAATTAGTGTGCGTGTTCTGCTTCTGCATAGATACAGCGAGTGAAGCGATCTTCTTCTTCTTCTTCCGTTTTTTGGCGTTACATCCTGTGTGCGTATCTTCTTCTTCTTCTTCTTCTTCTGTTTATTGGCGGTTTTGGCAAACCAACTTAAAGGTGCATTACCGCCACCTACTGATCTGGAGTGTGGAGTGAACAGATTTGGTAGAGAGAAGAATATATATATTATATAAAAAAAAATAAAAAAAAATTGCCGTGCTGCAGATTTACCACTCACTAGACTTGTTAGAACAGACATTGAATCTGTACACATTACAATATTATTTGGTTGTATTTCTTCAATCCATTGTAGTGGTAATATAATTGCTATTAATTCTGTAGTAAAAACAGACAAATGATCTGACTTTATCATTATTTTCTAAAACCGGAATATTATAGTTTCTCTGTATGCCTCCCATCTTCCTGATCATAGCCCATAAATCATTAATATCAATTTCTTCCCCTATTCTATTACAGAATTCTCTCCAGTATGTTCTTTTAGCTGTCCTTATTACCCTCCTCTGTGTGCATATCGCTACCTACTTTTGCTGTTATCTTCTTCTTCTTCTTATGATGTTTAATGGCGGTTGGCAAACCAGCTTTTGGTGCATATTCCGCCACCTGAATTGCGAGATATAAACTCGCAATTCTGAGAAATAAAGTCAGAATTGTGAGATAAAAAGTCGCAATTGCGAGTTATAATGTCAGAATTGCGACTTTTTATCTCGCAATTCTGAGAAATAAAGTCGCAATTCTGAGGAAAAAAGGTCAGAATTGCGAGATATAAACTAGTTTCCTGTTACTGAGATTGACCTTCACCGAAGTGTCAAAGACGGTAGGATTGCATATTCTATAGCCTAAAAATGGAAAATATTATAGAGGGTTATTTTCGGGGCGGTTTCACTAATAGAGAAATCTTAATTTTATTGGAGGAATTATGAAGGTAGAATGACGTCAATAAGATTTGCATACGCAGGGTAATATTTGTGAAAGTGTACGTGACATTGCAAGCGTAAAATAAATTCGCATGCGCAAAATAAGTTTTGTAAAGGTGTAAATCAAGTTATACGCTCAATAAAACAGGACTTGCATCATTTTACTATGTTTCGTAAGTGTAAATCATGTGTTGAAAAACTGCAACTTCAAATAAATATGATCTGTATTCTTCTGACCTACGTTTTTCCCGCGCTTACACTTTTGGCACGTTTTTTTGCGCTGAAATGCGGCCAAAAGCCTTGCAAGTCTGTAAACGGCAATTTGCAAGCAAAAACAGTGGTGTTAAGAACAGCAAAACGGATTCACTCTGAAGAATATGTCTCTGTGTGTAAAATAAAGCTGTTGCAAAGGTGTAAACAACGTGTTGCGTACGCGGGGCAAACTTTTCCTGAAATAACCCGATACGCGCTGCACCGTCTTTCTTTCACCTGCGCTTGCAGTTTTGGCACGATTCTCTCACTTACTGGAGTTTGCAAGAGTGAGTGGGAAGGCGGGACTTATTTCTTGTAACCAATCAAACGAGATTCTTGTTGACTCTTTGTTTTCTATTATCTGATTGGCTCAATAACGCGCCAGGAAGACGTCACTTGCGTCATTTCGGCTCAGCATCGTCCTCGCGGCAGCAGGAATGGTACTTTAATGCACAAACAGACAAATATAGAGACTTAATATAGATACATACACTAATTGACATGTGTTGATTCAAAAATTTGAGCTGGGGTTTCGTAAAGAAAATACTGTATTCAATTACCACTCCCTTACGAAAATAACCATGTTTTTTATAGTAAACGTGTAGTAACCATGTTTTATGGCTTATTAATTACCACTGGCTTAACTGTAGTAAAACCATACGGGCTGGTATAGCATATATGTAGAAATGTAGATCATATATCTGCTTACAACACTGAACGGACGCTACATTCAGTAATTAAAACTGTTAATATCTCTGAGAATTAACATTGTAATTCTTGTTGTCTTTTAAGGAAGTGTTGATGGATGCTATATTGGATAGGCTCCATTCGCGGCTGTCCCATCTGCTTAATCGACCACCAATTGATTTTGACTTTTTGGAGTTTACCTGTACCCAGGACTTAGTTTTTTTAAATGCACTCTCGAGTCAGGAACATTTTCCACATGCTGTAATGGAGGGACTCAGAGAGGTTATTCAGATTATTGGTGAGATTAACCACAGCCAACAGTGTACTCACAACACTGTGAACTTTGAATATGGCAAGGTTGGGCGGCCAAAAGTACTGTTACCAGAAGAACGTCTTCGGGATCTAATTGCCATGTCTCTACCAGTGCCCTGCATTGCAAAATTGCTAGGAGTGAGCACAAGGACCATACAACGGAGAATGTCAGAAATAGGGTTGGCAGTGAGAGACACATACAGTAGTGTTTTGGAAGAGGAGCTGGATGCATTAGTGTCAACAGTAAAATCCAGACACCCTTATGCTGGATATAGAATGGTGAAGGGTTTGCTGCAGGCTATGGGGCATAGAGTGCAGTGGGAAAGGATCCGGGCATCCATGCACCGAGTTGATAGTGCAGGCATTATTTCTAGACTGACACAGTTAGGGTGTGTTGTTCGTAGGACATATTCTGTGCCCAGCTCAGGAGCATTGATGCACATTGATACCAACCACAAGCTCATACGGTATGCATATGCTCATCCTGAAACTGTAACAGACATTTTATTATCTGACCTTTGATTTTCATTGTTTAAACTTTATATACATTTCTCTAAAAATAGATACAACATTGTGATCTTCGGGGGTATCGATGGCTTTTCTAGAAAGGTATTTAAGTATATTTTACTACCCAACTTCCTAAAAATGTCAGGGTCTTTAAATGTATCCCTGTCTAATTATGGGAGCAAATAAAGTAGTCATAGTCAAAAAATGACAAAAGTAGGTAATTTGTGTTTATAGCTGTAAATTAAAGATTATATGATAGATTTCAATATAGAACTGTCAAATTCACTGAAATTATATACAATTTATTGACTCAAAATTTTATTAATTTGCACAGAAAATACCAGACATTGGCATCCTAAACAATAATTTCAATCTTTGTCTTATTAAGTCAATATTAAAGATATCAAAATTGCAGTCACAGAATGTACTCAGAATAATTGTATGTAGAATATATTAAATCACAAAAAAAGACTTTACCTGGGTTTACCCAGGCAGGGTTTCACATTTCATATTGTATTGATATCAGAATCACACACTCTAGACTGAAACTGCCTATTTTTCGTATGTTACACAGATCATGTACCTAGACGTTGCAACCAATAATCTGGCTTCAACCACCCTGTACTTTTTCCAGCGTTCTGTTCAAAGATTTGGTCTTCCACTTCGGTAAATATTGCCTATCATTTATTTGCTTATGTGTTAGAGCAGGGTACCAGAGCCTGCACTAATATATTATCCTGAACACATACATCCACTGGTTCAACTTTGTTTTACTAGTGGAGGATAAACTAGTCTGTTGACTAACAGGCTTTGACATGCCTGTGTGAGAGTGTACTGATGTCTTTCAGACTGACAACTGCAATCACATACTTTATATTTTATTAGAAGTAAAATTGGTATTTGTACTAGTGTAAAGGAATGGTTGTTGTAAAATAGCCACATTTAAAATGTTCTATGTACATATTTTTTTTTTAGGGTCAGGGGAGACCAAGGGGTTGAAAATGTAGAAGTGGCCCGTATGATGTTCTCTGTTCGAGGTACAGGAAGAAGCAGCTTCATTGCAGGGAAGAGTGTCCACAACCAAAGGTGAGACTCTGTTACACTTAACCAGTGGTTCTCAAACTGGGGATCGTGGCCCCCTGGGGGCCTCAAGATGGATCCAGGGGGGCCACGGTTTTTGTGGCATTTTATGAAATATAGAAATGTATCAAACATTTTGTGCAATCAAACATCAGAAAAATGAGAACACCAACCAAAATTTAATTGGGGGGGGGGGGTCATCATCACAAAGGAATGCACCCCCCACAAGGGGGGCATTACAACAAAGAAGTTTGAAAACCACTGCATTTATTCATAATTTTATTCAGTGCAGTGCATTTGTAACTAAACATTTAATACATTACCAGAATAGAGAGGCTCTGGAGAGATGTCTGGGTTGCAGTCACAAACATCTACTACAATGTGCTTCATCAGTTGGAGGAAGAAGGGCAGCTGGATATGTTGAATCGTATGCATCTCTTCTGTTGTCATTACGTGTTCATTCCACGACTGCAAGCTCATCTGGACACCTTTCGCGATGGATGGGACAATCACCCTCTAAGTACAGCGGGAAATCTGACTCCAAATCAGCTGTGGGAGCTGGGATGACATAAGGTCTTAAGTCTTCCAGAAAATGAGGTGTTGTATGTTATATGAATGCATGTCTCCTAACATTTAATAAAATTGAAAATTAACAAAGTTAAAAAGTTTCACACATGGCAGGACTACATGACATGACAATTTCAATTATTATTGTATGATAAAAGTTCAGATATATTTTATCTCCTTGACATAGGACATCCACATTCCCTTGATTGACTGGGAAAGCAGTGGCCTACCACAAGACCCTAACTCAGGCATCCAAGTACCAGAAATAGAGTGCCCGCTAACTGCAGAGGCAGAAGGGGAACTTACGGTTGCGATAGATCCGATGGGACCATCAGATTGTTTTGGCAGTGACATTTATATTTCAGTCGTAGGCTATGTCCAACAGCATTTCTCTGTTTATATGTAAAGAATGTGAGTTAAAAAAAGGTATCAAAATCTGGTATTTCATAAAACTACACCTTTAACATCTGCATATCTGTTAAATTAAACAAGTCAGACGTGGTTTAAAAGATACAAAAGTTTGGTCACTGCTGCAAGATCGTCCAGATGTTGTCCCTTTGCTCTTCCCCAGAAACTTTTTGTTCAGTATTGGATAAAATTACATTAATTTTAAAATGTTTAATGTCTGTTTAATTTTATTCAGAATATGTGCAACAGCATTTCTGTTTATATGTAAAGAATGTGAGTTCAAGAAAAAAATCTGGTATTTCGTAAAACTATGCCTTAACGTCTGCATAATGTCTGAATGCAGTTTAAATGAAATAAAGTTTTTGAAATATTTTATTTTGTTAGTTGTACATTATGCTGCACAACATATTAACATTCATTCATAATGAACAATAACATGGAGTCCCAGAAATGTATTTTAAGCTATTCACAGTTCTGCTACTGCCTAGTAAATGATCGAGCCAGAACGGCATAAACAGGTGAGGATCGTTGTAGATCTGTCTACGAACAATTTCTTCCTGAGTAACATTTATGCTAAAGATTAGCAAATTGATGAACTGGCTGATTTATGTGACATGAATCACAATAACATTGACATGAAAATGAATGTATTTTTAAACATTAAGCCATTCAACATTAGTAATTGTTTTGGAACAGTCTTATCAGGTGGGGTTCTTTGTAGAACAAAATTTGAACTCTACAATCTAGCACATTATGAATGTTTGACAAACTAGGAACCTTACACTAATTCATAAGTGGCACAGATTGTTCCCTTTAGATCAAACCAAACCCAGTGTCACATGTTGCAATACAGGCTTCCAGATCCATAGTAAACTCCTGAAATGTACTGTAGTGGCCAGGCAGTCGGAGGATTTGAAAGCATGTTGATGAACTTGGATGATCAGCACAGACCATGTTAACCTTCATGCCAGCTGAAGGAAGCTCCCATCCAACCCAGAACTTTACAAGTTGTTGAAGTTTGCCTACACATGCTAAGGCAGAAAAGCAAACAAGTTCTAGTGAACACATTTGTTGTATTCTTTTTTGAAACAAACCTAAATTCAACCTAAAGAATGTCATACCACTCTCAATAAAACAACGGAGGTACTCTGCAATGCGACATTTTATGTGAAGTGGGTATGTATCTGTATCTGTATCTGTATCATCATCATCATCATCATGCCATATGATATTATCCAGAACAGTCTGAATAAGGTTAAAAAGACATTAAACATTTCAAAATTAATGTAACTTTATCCAATACTGAACAAAAATGTATGTAAAACCTGAGCACAGCAGGCAGCTTCTGAGTTTCTGGGGAAGAGCAAAGGGACAACATCTGGACATTCTTGCAGCAGTGACCAAACTTGTGTGTCTTTTAAACCACGTCTGAATTGTTTCATTTAACGAATGGTCCTTCCGAGGACCTGTAAAACATCAACAATAGATAATCGAGTAAATATTAATATTTGGATTTGATGCCTTTTAAACTACTCAAAGAGAGTAGGCCTACATACAAATAATCACACTTCTGTAAACTTTATACACTACTGTAAAAGATAGAATACAATAAATGAACTACAATAAACTGTAAACATTTTATGAATTATGTATTTAAATTGTTTAGAAACAAAAATTGCTTTTAAAATTGTGGCGAACAACAGGAAGAAAAAAAAAAAAAATGGCATGATGCAGGAGTCGGTGGAACAGCCAATGTCTATTGTTGTTTGTGACACCTGGGAGGTCCCATGACAGAGCCAAGTCTAGGACAGCCTTCTTATCCTGATCTGAAAGTTCATCATCTCCCTCAAGCTGTTGGAAACGGTTTTATTTTGAAAAAATAAAATACAAATTACATGCAAGTGATTTAAAAGAAAACCTCCGCATACCAACTGTATAGTTGCACGATGATCTAGGTCTGGGCAGTCTTGTAGCTGAATTGTGGCTGTTTCAGCTGGCTGCCCAAGTAAAACATGCATCACTGCAGGACTGATCCCTGACAAACAAGGGCCACCATGGAAGGAGTGACCAACCATCCTCCCAGCCATCAGGAACGTCACTTTCCACAAGAATTTGGGATGTAGAGGGCACAAGATGATCTGACTCACCCTCAAATAACAAGGTTGTGTCTGTGTTAGCTGAAGAAAGCATTGAAATTCAGTATTTTCCTCACAAGAACTATACCTGAATTGGCAATTTAGAAATGTTCACTTATAAAATTGATACAACAAAACATTCATATTGATTTGTTATATTTTTGTGCGCATGTCAACATTGTCATTGGAATCAAACATTAGTGACTGCCTTTGAAAACACAAGTTTCGTGATATATCACTTTCTATATACACAATAATCCTACATGCCATGAAGAACATTCTGTGAAAACATAACCTTGATATCTTTAATATTGACTGAGTAAGACCATGTCAAAGATCGAAATCATAGTGAAATTAATGAAAATCAAATTCTGAGGCTCGTTATCACATAATTAGATTACGAGACGTTAGCCTGTATTTCACAGACAGTGTCAAATATAACACATCTTACCAAAGTTTATCCTGAAGCCTTGTCAGTTTTAGGACTGCAATACTAAGAATGTGACGGCTCACCCCTTCACCTGTGGCGGCATCACCTTAAACATGACAGTAAGGGGTTAACTGGGGATCTGGAGCCCTCCCTGGGCTGAACGGGGGAACAGGAGCCCTCCCTGGGCTGAACGGGGGAACAGGAGCCCTCCCTGGGCTGAACGGGGGAACAGGAGCCCTCCCTGGGCTGAACGGGGGAACAGGAGGTCCTTCGGGCTCGCCACATTAACGTCCTTCGGGCTCGCCACACTAACTGCCGGCTGACTCAACCCGGGAACGGCCGGCGGAGGGGTTCCGGATCGGGATCGGAGACTCTCCAGACACCGGATGACTGTATCCTTCCAGCCGAGGTTGGTGGTGTCTGGGAGCTCCGTGGGATGGTGGAACGTCATACCGATCCGGAACAGCGTCGCGAGGATTTCCCCTTCGAGGGAGCTGGCGAGGGCGAGCGGAACAAACGCCCTCGCGAAGACGACGGGGTCTGGGCTCGCTTGAGCCAC